GATCTATCGATTTCCAAACCTAAGTAACAGCAGGTTTCGTGGTTATTTTCAGCCTCTTCTTAATATCATTTAGGAAATCGTCGATTATTTCTTTATTTGTTGCAGCTACTAGCCCATCATCTATATACAATTTTATGAGCAGTGTTTGTTCATTACCTTCTTAATGAAAAGACAGCTGTCAGAATCACTTTGCTGAAAGTTCATATCAAGTAAAATCTCTTCAAAGCACGAATTCCAGCAACGTGGAGTCTGCTTTAGTCCATAGAGACTTTTCTTTAATTTTCATACTTTCAACGAGCCATCATTAAAACCTTCTTTTTTATAACTGGGTTTATAGTTGTCAATTACGCATTGTATCACTTATAGATTAGGGATAAAGTATATATTGTTTCATGTATATTTCCTCATCTAATTTTCCATTGAGGAAAGCTGTTGACACATCAAATAGTGTTAAATACAGGTTCAACCTGGCACTCACACTAAGCAAAAGCTAAAAAAAGATCGTAATCAATTCCTTTTTTATGTTTGAATCCTTTGACTCAAAGGCGCGCTTAGTACTTATCAATGAATTCGTCAGGATTCCGCTTGACCCTAAATACCGCCGTCCTATTTGGTGGTAATTTACATAGCGTCCAGACGTCGTTCTCCTTTAACGAATCTATCTAGCTTTGCATAGCCTGCAGCCAATTGGTACCGTCCTCTCGTTCCATAGGGTAAAGTAAGGTAAGGTAAGGGTTTCAGGAGACTTTTCTAGGTCGAGAAGGTGTCACATCTTTTCGGACGTGCTCTCAAGTTATACCTTGATTCTACGTCATTGTTTCCATGCGAAGATTCTGAATAACAGACATTAGTGTAATAACAAACAAACATTAATGTTCTTGTTTGTTTGTCCGAACTTGTTTAGATAAGGAACTTGCTGGCAAACTGTTCGGTTTCGACGACCTTCCATCATTGATCCACTTTTGACAGTTTCGCACTCTATGTCCTTTTTCAGAGCAATAGTTGCATTTAAGCCTTTTGTCCCTTTGGTCCATCTTCGTAACTGTTTTTCATAACTAGTTACGAAAGAAGATTTTTCCTTCACTGTTTCGTAACCAGTTATTAAAAAGGAATATTTTGGTCCATCTTCGTAACTGTTTTTCATAACTAGTTACGAAAGAAGATTTTTCCTTCACTGTTTCGTAACCAGTTATTGCCTTTTGTCCTTATCCTTGCTCTTGTTGTGCTTCTGTGAGCTCGTATTAACAGTCAGAGCTTCCTGATCAAGAATGTTCTTACTCAACAGAGCTCTCTCGTATGCACATAAGTGACTGGTTAGATTTTCCACGGTTCTATCTGCTTTTTGTGTTAATAGCCAATTACTTCTAAATGAAAAATAATCTTCACCAAGGGTGTCAAGAATCTTACAGACCAATAGTAGTTCTGGTAATTCTTTTTGTCTCGAAACATCTCTTGATTCAGCTCGGTCCATATATTTTTCAATTTAGATAAATGGGTTGCAATGTCATCTGCTGGATCTCGTTTAAATCCGAAAAAGGTCATGTACAAGTTGTATGATCTGTCATCACAATTACCATCAAAAAGTCGGTGTAATTCTAACCATACTTCACGAACTGACGTATGTATCATAATTTTACGTAATGTGTCTTCACTCACGTTTGTGGATTTGTGGTGAGAAGGTGTAGAACGCTGCTATCAGCATTAACAAATTTGACATGTTCCAATCTGTATGTGTTGACATTGTCGTCACCTGCTCCATCATCTGGCACAGAATCAGGTCTTTTTAGTTTTCCCTCGACAACATCCATAGTATTTGGAATGCTCCGCAATAAGATGCATACTTTATATCTCCAACTCGACCAGTTGACTTTTCCTTCTAACTGACCAATTTGTATTTTGGAAGTTATATTTTCCATTTTAAATTCAGATGCTGATCCCATACTCTCTTAGAGCGTGTGTTTTTTTGAGTAGAAGCTCTTAATAAGATTTGTAAATACCAAATAAATAGAGAATTTAAAGTTACAAGGAAAAACTAACACATATGAGTGACATAGTATAATACAGAACAAAAGCTACATTGGTTGACAGATTTCAATATTAAAGATTTCCAAAAAACTACTACTTTTCAGTAGCCACGAACACTATCCTTGACAAAATCGGCAACAAATCATCCACTTATTTTCTCCAGCCGTGGGGGCGTGATAGACGAATAATACTAACGAATTGCGAAGCTTCTAAAATGCTTCACATGGGATGTACAGCGTAATTAGCAACTGCCACCGAATTCCGTAAGTCTGAGACACGCAGTAATCTTAGTGTTGTGATAAAACTATTGTCTAGTTTATTGTTAAATTCAAATTATAAGTACTGTCATCTAATTTATTATACGTGAACTAAAGCCAAATATTGATATACAGTTTCAGTTTTGAGAAAAATGACACTTTGTGTTGGATTCTACATTCGGGAACGCCACTGTTGTCAGGTGTTAGGCATTTCGGAAAGACGCATGATGCGAATGAAGCTTCATACTTGTCATTGTGTTTTGATTTGGTCGAGTATTACTTACCCCTGCTTCGAGTCTAGTCATATATGTAGAAGGAATTTTTCTCCCCGTGTCCGATCTTAGTATCAATAATAACTAGTTGAGTATTTTACAATAAATATATGAAAGTCGAGGTAGTAAACCATCATGACATTTAATAAATAAACATTGTAAAAGGAATTCAATCTAAGAGTGTGAACTAAAATCCAATCTTATTCTCCATGAGAAATAAGTTGCTTTTTTTAATAATTTCAAATATAATGAAATAAAATAATGTGTTTAATGCTGATATGGTAAATAGTACGTAAACGTCTAAGTATGTGAATAAGTATAGGTATGTGAACATCTATCCATTAGTAAAGTGCATAAAACCGTGACTGCCGTTTTCAACTAAACTGGTTTGCTATAATTAACATCGAAGTTAAAAACTGAAATTGTTTATAGTGTGTGTTTATATGGAGGTATATTAGCGCACTGGGGGTCTACTCTCGATCTCCGACCGACATCCGTCCGAAACAATTACTGCCAAATAAGCAATACTTGACCAAATGAAAAGACGCGTGATGCGAATGAGCTTCATACTTGATACTTGTCTTTTAATTTTGTCGAATATTACTTATTTGACAGTAATTGTTTCGGACGGATGTCGGACGGAGATCGAGAGTAGACCCCCAGTGCGCTAATATACCTCCATATAAACACACACGATAAACAATTTCAGTAGACCCCCAGTTGTCACTACTGCACCATGAAAATAATTTAAGAAGACAAAATCAAAGGGTTAACTATGGTGAGATTACAGGCACATGCGACTTGTCAACTTATGTCTCAGGATGACGGGCGCAGTGGCAGTGCCCCTCAGATCTGAAAGCTTTGAGTAGCACTGCAACTGTTATGGATAGGCGTGTAGCTTACGGTGTGTACAGATCTGGCCAATGCGCCGCGAACGCGCTGCATGTGCGCTGGGCGTACGCTGCACGCGTGCTGCATGCGTGAAGTTAAATACGTGTTAGTATATATGGCACGCGAGCGGCACGCGAACGGCTCGCGAACAGATCGCACTATTTAATGCACGTACGCAGCTCGCATTTCCAGAGCATTCGCAGGATTTGTAAGCACCCTTACCATCAGGCGCATCACTTGTTCGTCCCTTCACTTAAAAAAAAACTTTACAAAACATTTGCAATAGGTACGTTTTAATTTGATGAACTTTTTACTATATAATTATAACGAAGATACACGCGGCACATGCGAACTTCATACTTCTGAACAATCAACAAAAAGAAAGTATTTACTTTAGCGTCAACCTTGTTTGTATTTCGAATGATATTTAAGCCGCTTTATGAACAAAACTCGAAGAGTTTTCTTTATGAATGAAATAAGGTTCTCTAGTCCCTTGCGACTTCTTTTTTCGTTTAACATTAAGGAAAATTGCAGATAGAAAATTGGGTTACAAAAACAAATTGAAAATTTCGAGGCAATTTTCTCCCTCAAAGAAAAAACATTTTGAAATTATTTACTTCTACTCGTCTTGATATGGAGGCATTCGTGATGTGTTATTAAGTAAAACTTTGAGACAATAAAATTCTTGGGACAACGACCCACGGTGCAAGTTTACCATAATATATATTATATCATATAATTTTTGATAAGTACAGAACAGAAGGTGTTGAAAGCCTTCTGGGCACGATGCCCCAATGAACCGCCCTCGAGGAAATTTTCTATTTATAAACTTCCTTACTTTAATATATTATAACACTATCCTACTAAAATAAACTGTGACAGAAGACGTTACTTTGTTATGGCGATCCTCTTCTAGCTGCACAGCAATCGTAGTATGGTACCAATGAGTTTTAAATTAAATTATATTTTTTTAAATTTTATTCGTTATTGACGATCTCCGTGATCGAGTAGCTTGCATGCCGGTTTTCATGGTGTCGCCTTCTCAACTTATTCCCATCTGATCCCCAAAACTGATCCACCGCCAATTTTAAATTGCAGTTGATCCCCTCTATATGTTTCAACTTCCAACGGATCCTCTCACTGTATTTGTATGGTAAGTACAGTCCAGAGAAAAAGAAGTTTTGAATTCAAAGTTATTAGAGTTATATAAGTTAGTACAGTTAAAGTTGTTCATTTCTGATAAACTAAATGAAATACAGCAAAAATTGTGAGTACCAGGGTATCAGGTGGGAATAAAATATTAATATTTATTCGTTATTCTTGAGGGGTGCATTGGGGAACCGATGGGATTAGAAAATAATTTAAAATAAAACTATACTATTTTAAATTATTACTTTGGGATCGCAACGTATGTAATGTTGTCTAATTTTTACATATAAAAAAATTATAATATAGTATAAGTACCTACCTACTAGTAGTAAACATGTGAAATAGCTATGACGAAAACATATAAATGTTTCATTTCTCTTGAAAACAAATTGTTTGTTTGCTGTAGGCCATCATTCTGGGGGCAGAGAACGAGAATGGAGAAGTGGCTGTTGCTTGTGGCAATTCTGGCGGTTCTACTCGCCATCGCTTTTCTCGCAGCTTTCATCGCAAGCATGCTCGTGCGCAACTCAACAAGCGTCAAAGGTGAGCAAATAATACATTATGTGACAATAAGCGTTTATTATCATGATGAACATTCTGAGGACCTCCGTGGGTTAGCTCACGATTTTTATGGTGTCGCCGCCTCTTATGTCGTATTTATTTGCACCAAGCAAAAGAATGGTAGAAAGAGATTCCGTTTCCAGAGCACACGCGTTGTTATTATACTGCCTCTCATTCTAGAATTAACTTTCATTCTTAGCCTATTTACCAATACAAACTACGGGATACAAATATATATCATACGCAAAAAGAACTATAGAATGGTTTCAAAGATTAATTTTATACTTACGGTGCAGTCGTGTGGATCACGTGTTATTTAAAAACTTTTAACGTTTAGAATAAATTCTTAAGCAATAACATATTTTATTGGTATGCATTCCTAATATACATAACCATTTTGCTATCATAATATTGGCAAATGTTTATAAAGATGTAAAGCGTCATATACATACCCCTTACACGATTTGAAAGAGATAGGTAAGTAAAGAAGAAAAACGGAAAGAATTTGCTTGCTAATACAATACATTTAGATTTATACAAGCGTATAGACGAGCAGAGCGTGTAAGCGGGAAGATCATTTATATTTTACTAGCTGGCGCCCGCAACGTCGTCTGCGTAGCTCGGGTAACCTACTGTGCTATACTAATACTAATTTTCATTACAAATGACATAAATACGAATTTTCAGATCCCGTACTTGAGAAATGATTGATTCTCCATACAAACTTTCATACCCTATTTACTTATATTTTACTTAAAGATTTATTTTTATGATAAAAAGTAGCCTATGTCCTTCTCCTAGGCCACATCTATCTCTATACCACAATTCATCAAATTTGATTCAGCGGTTTAGGCGTCAAGACGAAACAGACAGAGTTACTATCGCAATTATAATATTAAGTTTGGATAACGTTCAATAAGTGTTAAAATAGAAAACTCTCTCTCATTTTAAATGGAACCTTGTCTTAATACCTCAAGCTTATTAAATTCCTTGAGGGATTGTTTATTTTCGATTATCCTTTATGGTTTAATTTTATCCTTCACATTTGTTAGATACGCGTCAACAATAACGAAGTGCTCGGTTGTTGTGATAATATTGAAGTAATGTAAACATTAAGTGCTCCACAAATGAATCGTTATTTACATCTAACAAAATGAGCCATTTTTTCGAGAGTTATTTTCTTGTAATAAACATTGTTTCGGGAAGCTTAGCCACATCTTCAGGTCGTCAATCCCACCGAGTCTAAAAACAAAGGTGTTTAGCCAGTGCGTTCTACAAGTTATGGACTATGGATCCGAGACAGTGGACATTAACAATAGGCCTCATCCACAAACTTAAAATTGCTCAGCGTTCTATGGAGTGAGCTATGCTTACCCTGATGGACCGAATTCCAAATGAAGTTATACGTCTAAGAACTAGAGTGGCTGACATAGCTTGCAAAATCAGTAAGCTTAGAAGGCTGATGGCCGATGGAGCAGACTTGTTCTGGAGTGGCGATCACATCACGCCCGGAGTCACGATGGACGGACAACTTGAGAAATCTGGCTGGCAGCGGCTGGACGTGGGCGGCACGGGAGAGTTGGTTTGCTCAGGGGGAAGCTTATGTCCAGCAGTGGATGCGTGTAAGCTGATGATTTAACAATTGTTATAATTAACGCTCTTAGATTCACGTTCTATAACATATCCGAAGTCAGAATCAATATAAACGAATACCTTTAGAATATAATATTATACTCCACGAAGTCTGAAAGGGAAGTAGGGTATGTTAGAATGAAAGCCCTAAACTCTGAGGGTCGAGCGTCATATAGGAGGAGTTTTGGTCAAAGGATGTCGTATACAGCGGGAATTCCGAGGTCGGTTACCTGACACCAGATTGAACCACGCGTCGCCGACAAGTGCTGTTATGTATGTTAGTCTTTAAGATATATAGTATATGGGTCATAGCTGCTTGATTCAAATGAACAAAATAATTATAAAATATCATGATTTTTTCGGTTTATTCAAATGTTGCATTTACTTCATTGATAATGTTGTCGATAAAATTCAATCTTTCTTGGTCTATTGCGACACCAAAATCATAATTTTACAAGAATTTGACGCAACGAAAATGCTTGCATTTTAAGCATAACACACAAATAATTATATATATTATTTGTTGAAAATTAAATGCAAAAAGTATTGGTCACTCAAGAAATTAGGCTCGGCTCACTGGCGGTCGTAAGTGCACCGTTGCAAAATAGATTTTTTTAACGAGCTAACAAGGTACGTTAAACTAAAACGTAGTAATAAAGCAAAAATATGTAAAGACGTCTGCGTCCCGGTTATTATGTGTATATATACATATGTATATATAAATATATAAATAAGAAATTTAAGTATATTTAGAAAGATTTTGACAGCTTCTTTTAAAAAATGATAAAATATTATAAACATAAAATTGCCTAGGGCTTCACTTAGAAATAATACAATGTACCTAGGTATATAAACTCACTTACTTTTTCTTAGAAGTTTTTCCGGAAATGAAAGCAATTTAATATCGATATTTCAATTGACGCCGCTTGTCATACACACGTTTTGAGAGAAGAAATATCCCAATGTGTGCGTGATGATCAAAATGCACATTTTGATCATTTGATAAATTAATTACAAATACCGTAGTTATATTGGCAGATTCAACTTTAAATAATACCTATTCGATCAACATGAAAAAAATGCAGGATAATAAAAGCAAATTCCCACGTGATGCAAGCAACTTTAAAAAAATCTTTGAATACAGTGTTACTTACTTTTAAAAATAAAATAATGTCTCCATATAGCACAATATCCTATAATCTTAGAATATTTAACGTATTTTCCCTCCATATTTCTTAATTTTAGTTTTATGTACACTTGCTTAATCTTTGACTAGATGGGTAGTTTGTTGGTAACATTTGTGAACAAAGATGGGCTGTGAGTAAGTAGTTATAAGCTATGTAATATTATGATGGCAAACGGGTATCAGTATGTCAATACATGCCGCCAAAAACTATGAAAGACCACCAGGCACAGAGAAAGAGACACTATGCAAGTAAGTAGTGTCACTTTCTGAATAATACTTATTTCATTGTAAGACATTACAATAATTATTTAACTATAATTTAGAAATTAAACAATTTAAGTATGGAGCCTGTTTGCTGTAGTTAAACCACAATTTTTTTTTGTTTGGCTTTCTTTTTTCTTTTTTGTGAAACCTTTGCTTCCCTAAATGGGTTAACTTTGATTAATTGAAAAAAATTGGATTGGTTTGTCAACAGAATTTAAATATTGGTTCTTTTTCATAATTTCATTTACTCGTTCAAAAGTATTGTTTACAATCATTACATAATTAGATCCTAAAATCTCGTACCTATTACTTAAGCCACTCGGCAATGCCTCGTGACCTAAACGCTGTACTCGACTTTAAGAACCCTCATTAGGCAACGATTGCATAAAATACTATTGCCTAGCCATGAAGAAGAGTCACTTTTATAATTTTTTTTTAAATGAAATAAATATAAAATAAAATTTGTATGTTGAACTGTTTTTATTAGATTCAATTAGATTTTCACCTACGATGAAATTATGCACTTTCATTTTCCCATAAGTCATAATAGGTTAGTTATAAAGTTTTGGAGCAAATGTACCAATCATTTATTTATTATTTTTATATTTTAATAGATGCGGTAGGTACAGGCAGAACAGCAAGCTTGGCACTCTGGAATTTGGACCATCCTTATTGTGTGCGTCATAAAGTTAAGCGTCAAGCTTCACCCTGTAGTTAGTTCTTAGTATAAAAAAATTATTGATGGATGGAATTCATAAACCTCGTAACCTCTGTTAATGCAAACTTTCGAGTAGGCGGAATAAATATAATTACTAGGAATAATTATAATGCCAACCATTAAAATTAGGTCTGCCAATTATATTTCAAGCTTTAATTGCCCGACATTGAACTGCCGAACTGTTACCATACTGGACTGTCACGTGGATATCACGGGTTCGATTCCCTGGGCTGGAGAAATATTTGTATGACCTACATTAATTTCTCTCTCGTGAGTTTGAGTGTAATTTGTGGTTGTCTATGTGTGTGTCCATAGTACCCGCGATACAGGGTTTGCCTAGTGCGGGGCCATGATTGTGTACGCGTTATTATTATTGCGTTTGAAGAGTTAAAATGTTATTTCGTCCAAAAACGAAGTTACGAAGTTTTCAATTTAACCGACGAAATGTAATATATGCAATAACAATTTTTCTATATTGTTAATGTTTTCTGGATACTATAAGTTATTATTATTCCATGGCTTTATGCCAACGTAGGTAATCGTAAGTAGGTAGTAAAGGAACAAGGAAAATAATAAATTATTGGCGGCAATCCAGCGGAGACGTTAGAAGTACCGACGTATGCAATAAATACTTACCTGGACGTCGAGCTCTTCCGTCAGGTGTACCATGGTTGTATCTTTCAAAGTCGCATCTTCGAATTAGAAAGAAGAAAGAATGAAAATTTTATTCAGTACCATTCATTTTAAATTGTAGTAAATTAATAAAAAATTAAATTGAAATCAAAATTAGGATACTGAATGAGCACCACTCAGCCACGGCACATGCACGCATGCGCTAGTAGTATGTGGAGCCCATGGAGTGTGTCACAGGTGCACCAACCAAACACCACACACGAAACACTGACATATTTTGTACGCTATCAAATACACACATGCACGCACACAGCCACAGACATATGTACATATACTATATATATATATATATATATATATATATATATAACATATACATATGTACATAATATGTTAGGTTTATATATATTTGAGCTAATAAAAATCAACATGCAATTCAATGTAGTAGTACTCGGTGAGGTTCAAGTAGCACAGCGTGTACAGAATGTATAATTAGAGAAAGCTTATCATTTTGTTTGTCTTTTATTTTGTCAATGACAATGATTTAATCATTGTCGAAAATATTGCAATGTGTTCTTAACACTCCCTCATATCATCATATCATATATTATTATCATAACTAACGTTGTCGGAATTTTAGCGAAATTGAGTTACTGACGTGTCTGGAATCAGCGAATTGAGTCACAACCTCATCATTTATTGTATCTTGTTCAGCGTCAGCGGAATTGACATTTTTTAAAGAAAAAGGTCCTTAGGTGCCAATAGCTCGAAACTTACCAAATGCAAATAATGCGTTAGTTTATGACAAAGAGAGCACGATACCGATGTGACTTAAATATGCGTTTGTGCTTCAGACTAGATTGAAGGCCAGAATCCGAAACCGTGCCGTACACTACGGCATGAATCTTCGTGTTAGAGGAAACTTGTACCCAATATATGATAAGAATAATAATAATAACGCGCACGTACTCTAAGCCCCGCACTATGGAAACTCTGTATCGCGGATGTCAACCACACATTTCACCTAAACTCACGAGAGAAATAAATGTAGACCATACAAATATTTCTCCCGGCACGCAAATTGAATCCGGGATCTCTGCATAGCAGCCCAGCATATTAACCGTTCGACCACGGAGGCAGTTAGTAGAGCGGAGGCAATAGCTGGATGTAGTTTGATATTAAATGTATTTAATTATGACGATAAGTGGGAATCAGTTAGGGACTTATATATGAATCTAGAGGTTCAATGAAAACTTCCGCAAATTCGACAAATTTATTAGAACAGAAAAGACGTAATTTAAGACGCAAATTGTTGTTTGCCTACGGATTTATATGTGAATTATCAGCTAAAGAGCTACTTTAAGCATTAGAGCTTATCTCTGTAAAGATAAGCATCTTAGCAAAGAGCACCGTTCTAAAAAGTAATAGTAACACTACACAAAACTACGACGTGCACTACTTTCAATTTAGTTTAGTTGAACTAAAGATTGTGAAAAAGATTTATTAAAATCATATTAAAATTATAAGTTTCGTTAATCGTTTTTCGCTAACTACTTAAGTTAAAGCAGCTTAGAAGAAGACACATGATTAGAAGTCACCGCATTACACATGCAGTGAACCTCACGTTAGTATAAAACGAGACGGCGGCATACGAAAAGTCTGACACGCGTAGGAAAACTAATGCAAAAGACATGCATCAAAACACATTTTTATCATAAAACGGAAATTGATATATTCTGTTTTTCAGAGCAGTGTGAGAAAACATATCAAATGTAAAAAGTGTAGATAAAAGCAGTTCAAGATGTTAGTAAATGCCAAAAAAACAAAAAATATTTTCGCTGGAGCGTAGGCAAACTATTTACATTGTGAAATGATTTTACAGTGCAGAATTTTCACTTACTTCCATATAGTATATTATACCATATTGAAGCACCCCTGTTGTTTACGTATTTAAGGATATAAATGCAAATATTTTTATTTTTGTTGCGACAAAATACGCATATATGCCAGTAGACGTACACCGATCGTGACAGCAATGTGAACCTAATAACATCTACTTAGGTAACTGGATTGCCGAAGCCGGCGCATGCCTGGCACCCCCTACGAATTGAAGATAATATTTTTATTAGGTTTCAAGTGCGGAAACGCGCGACGCTGCGACGGGATTGAAATTTGCACATCACTGCGCAAGATACTCTTCCGGAAACTAGCAGCCAATTTATTTACCTATGTAAAAATAAATAAACTATGGCCATTGATGTATAACGCACAGCATTTTGACGATTGACGGTTACAAAATATTAAATCACGTCGTGTGGCGAAACCCTCCGCCACGCGCCATCGTGACACGCGTTCACGTCTAGCACCGTTAGAAAGTAATAACAAAGCTCTGTTAGAGGTCAGTTTTCACAGAAAATTAAGCAAGAAATGTTGAGAAAGATACGCGACAGCAACCAATAAATATTAAAAATGTAATATCTATCACAATGCCTATTTCAAGAGCACGATTTCGTTCAATGAGGCATGAACGTGCCCGAACAAGAGCATTTTTGTAACTTCTACCTTGATACGAACGTGCACCTGTCATCTGGAGTAATTAGAATTTGTTAACAAGATTATTACAGCAACCGATGTAACAGAATTGGGCCGCACGAAATTGGAGGTATTTAATTATTGTAACCGTTTTGTGGGCGACACCTATCCCAAATAATAAATGAGGGGAACACAGGAAGTGCTGGAACGAAGGAAGCAAAGTAGGTTTGATGTGTTCATATTTTAAAAGCGTTCTTCATATCGACTACGTGCAAAAATCTAAAGTAATATTACAGTAGAAGTTTGGATTGTCTACAATTATGTTTCGAATAAACCACATCGAGGTAAAGATGCCATGATGAAATGACGTTAAGAGATGAGATCAAGTTCAAAGTGCGTAACGCGGTCAATATCAACAACAGCATATACCCAAGTCGTCCGCATTAGAATGCGTGGGCGATAGATTCGAATGAGGATTATGTAATCCTAAAATTTAAACAATGTGGTGACCCTAATGTTTAAATACAATCACGTAAGATTGGTTTAACGAAAGCAGATTTATATAGTGAAGGTAAAACCTGATGTGCCACTAACGGCCACTACATAAAATAATGTAAATGTTTTAGAACACAGCTTACCATTTAATTTTCCGCAACAATGATTTCTATCACTAGCGTTTCGTGATTGCAAACCGAGTGTCACCGGTGCAGTGTGGCGTCAACCATTTCATTATTATTTACCTTTAGCATATTTGGATAGATCACTGCAAAAACGATGTTAATTCTCACTATACTACATCAACATAACTTCTCAACCGTTGATGGACGTATATCGCTGCTTCACAAAAGAAGGCATTGTCGTAGTTGCCACGCTTGACAATATTATGTTAATAATAATACCAATATTATAGGGAATAACCCTCTCAGGGTGGCGTTGACCCTCGCCTCATGAATTTACCTACTCCTTCGTCGCTTTTTATGACAACCACGAGTAAACAGGATGAATTAATATTAGGTGCCACGGGAATCGCTCTGTCCCTTATTAAACAACATCACAACGTCATATACGTTGCTCCAATCGAAAGTAGTAAGTAATTAAAGCACTTGTGTTTTGAAAATCGGAAACACTGGCGGTACCACAAATGCCCAGACCGGAGAGAATATAGAAAAGTTAGATTTCTACATTTACCCGGCCATGTCTATTCCGGACCCCTTATAAAATTCTTCATCCGATTATATAGTTTTTAGTTAGGTGCCTTTATTTAATTTTGATGGATTATTATCATTTGAAAGTGCATCTTAAATTCAAAGAATAGTGATATAATTTTGTTTTGATACAAGTTTGATCGGACTCTTTAACACGCCAAAAAATTTTTCGACAAATGTCCGACAATTTCGCTTTTGTAAAACAGAACCAATAGGAAACAAAACTTTTTCTTGTAATGGGAAAGTGCGATTACCGACCGAAAGACACTCGGATCTATTTATTATATCCTGTTTAATATGACTTAAATATGTTTTGGTGTAGATATGCCGCAAACCAGTGAATTAAGGCTGTCGTCCTCCGTGCCATCGACAGTGGTCTCACCCGGGGCTGATGAATCCAAAATTTGCACGAAGCCCGGTTGCATCCATACAGGTACTTTATATTTCTGTAACTCAAAAAAACAGTTTCGAATCAATTTTTATTCTTCTCTCTCTGTAAAATGCTATATGTATATAATACCCTATAAAATATCTGTTGGACCGGTCTGTTGAAATTATATGTTTCCTTCAGCTTCCAAACTGCTCACGAACATGGATGAAACAATCGATCCTTGCGACGATTTCTATGATTTCGCGTGTGGTGCATTCGTGAAGAACACTCGAATCCCGGACGACAAGACATCAGTGAACACCTTTTCCATCATCACCGACCAGCTGCAGGAACAAATCAGGACCCTACTGGACGAACCCATATCGCCCAACGAACCCAGACCGTTCGTTCTCGCTAAAACTTTGTACCAAGCCTGCATGAACAGAAGTAAGTAGCAAAATTATTAATACAAGTATGTAAGTATTACACTATTCATATTTCATATGATTACTGACGTTCGGAATGAGAGTATTGTTGTTATATATTAACTTAATATTTATACTACGTATAAGTGACATAAATATGTCTTTATAATAAAGTTATATTTCTATATTTGCATAAACGAAAGTAATAAGTTTTAGATTAATAGACACAGTGAATACGATATTGTAAGCAATTTTTGAAACCCTCTTTTAGAATAATTATGAAAAACTAACAAACATATATGAGTATGCTATGCTTAGTATGTTATACTTTGAAGAGGATTCCTATCAAATTTTAGATGAAATACACTCGGGAAATACAACTGACATACTCTGTTTCATCCACATGATAAAAATCACAAATCGCAAACATACAAGTTTTCATTTCATATTTATATGTTCATATATCATAATTATCTATGTATACATCGATTGCTTATTGATAAGTTCACATTTGGACTAACATAGACCTACGTCAAAAACAGAGAATATCTCATCAATCATCATATATGATTGAAGTTTCTGTAATTTAATTGTTCTCGACATCCGAAGAACTGAGGGCTGGTAATACACTTCGTTAGAAAAGAAACCTAGTATGCTGTAATCTGACGCGGTGCTATCGGATGTGCAAAAGTAATTACCAAAGCCTATTTATTTCAGCTGCTTCTATCTGATTTACTGTCCTGTAATCAGTGCATTTTTAATTACTACTCTTCTATTTCTTATTAACTGAGAAAAAGTAGTTTTGTGATTGTGGAACGTTTATAGCATCGGATCGTTCTAATAAACATGGCCGGTGGCGCTTGAAACTAACACAATAGTGTAGTAAACTTTTAATGGTATTTCAGAACACAATCGCATCATGCCACGAGGATGACATTTAAACTGGGCAATATCGTTTGTGTCCTATTTACCATATCTTGTACATGTTCTTAGGGTATGCTGTAATCGAACGAGCCTATCTGCAAGTATGCTCGGCTGGTTCGTAACCAGTTGCGGCAGCCTGGCTAACGCGTCGTCTGAAGACGATTTTAAACTTAAATGTAGAGTCGAAAATTGAAAGACTTTATTAGTAGATACATTGTTTTTACAGAAAGGCACAGGCAAAAAAGTGGAGTTCAATTACTTTGGAAAGTACGTTGCACAAAGACACAGACATTTGTATTTTGATACCTTTCGGGATAATAATAACTTTAAATACATGCCGCATTGTCAGAAACTTCATGCAGATGGAAGAGGACGATGTAGGATCTTATTACACACCCACCCCATACTCGTAGATACACGCCATACTGCATTTACTTGACTTCAGTTCGTAAGTGTGGTTCAAACTAGCTAACAAGCTGAGAAACATAAAGTAACTAATAATAAAAATAACATAGCCCCGCACTAAGGAAACCCTATGTCGCGGGTGCCATGGATACACACATAGACAACCACAAATTACAACCAAACTCAAGAAAAAATATAAATGTAGACCATACAAGTATTTCTCCCAACCCGGGAATCGAACCTGGGACCTCTGCGTGGCAGTATAATAACGGCACATTAACTATTCGGCCACGAAGGCAGTTAAATATGGGACAGTGGCAGCTAAAGTTTTTTTCCTTGAAAAATGTCAATTAAGCTAATTTTGCTTAACAATGACACAAATAATAATAATAATAAAATTGTTTATTGGATAACTTATTCTACAAAGGAATAATTAAAGACTAATTATGCGAATCAATGTAAAATATAACACATGTAGCTGTACTAGGAGAATCCTGTATTTCAGGTAAAAAATAATTATTATACAGGCGGATAATAAATTATAAACAAAAGAATAATTAAACAATGAAATGCAAATCACACACCTACATATACCCTTAAATTACACTGAAACCGCTTAGTACTAAGTTTTATACTAAAAATGAAGCATTTTGATTTTCAACGTGTGGGAATATTGAACAAATGTTTATCGTATTTTGTAATATCATTGTCACTTCTAGTAATACCTCAATAGTTTTTGTTTTATACAGGCAAATTTTTTACAAATTTCGTAGCGGAACATTCAGCCCCGCTTTGGGGCGCATTGTTCCGCTTAGATTATGACAGGATAACAAAGACTTTCTTAAATAAAACAACCTTTTCTACAATTGTATGTATTGTTTATCTCATGCACAGCTAAACTTGAAAAAAAACAACAATATTCTTATTCATCAGTAATATTATTCATCGCTCATTTCTTCCTCTGAGTCACAGTTGAGACACGCATAAGTGAACTATTATCATCTTTGTCTAAATATTTGACATGAGCCCGATTGTAGTTTTCTTAGACTGTGGAAACCAATTTCTTTTTTTCATCCTCTAAGGTAGTTTCGCATCCTTAAAAAAAAGAAAGAAATAGTGGTCTTAAGAATTTTAGGTACGATTGCAGGTCAATTGGGAAAGTTATTCCGAGGAACAACCAGCCCCTCGAGGGAGGGAACTGATAGCACCAAATCACGTTTTTATACGAAGACTGACATACCTTAAAACTAATAGAATAAATCAAACAAATACTCAAACAATAAGATACCTTAATAATGTCACTAGAATTTAGATTAAAAAAGTTTAAACAAGGAAAAATTTAATTAGGTGATGTTTTGACCGCTCCATGCACATTCTTCTTCACTTCCGTCGTCGCCGGAGTAACAGAAATGGCTGCTGCCTGCAAGACGCGTCACCAGACGCTTTAACGACAGGCTTCACATATATTGCTATACCTTTTCCTTGCCAAGTTATTACTGTGGGAACAACTTACCACGGGAACTTCCACCCCGATCTTTTCTAAAGGGGGTTGTAGATCTCGATTCGCTGATTCCAGATATGTTAATAAGTAAATTTTGCAAAAAAAATCGTGATTACATTAGTTATGTTACGAACAAACATAGTATCATAACAAAATTAAACATCGATTATAAAACCAGAAATATTGGCAACTCATCAGGCAAATGGGGCTTACATAAGTTTTAAATATCAACTCTCGTTTGCGTTGAAATCACAAATTAGAAAGGTGAAATAGTACAGCACCAACAACTGACCTGTTTGTACGTCTCCGTATATTCCAAAAATATTCTGTAATAAAGACAATATCTCTAACAATGGGGGTTGTTCCATTCGGTGGTGTGTGAAAAATAGCAAAACATCTAATTATAAAACAAATGGAATCACATTTCATCGGTAATTAAATATTAAATGTGTAATTTTTCAATTTTCGTCCGTTATAACAAAGCTCAAGTTAAATTGGTAGGTTTGAAGTGAAACAATTGACGACACCCGTCATTTGTTTCGAATTCGGGCTAGCCAATCGGAGCGTAGTTGTCAGCGTAATGATATGGCAGAATAGTTTTCAAACAAATTAAATGACATTTCGTCTCTATTTCTGGCTATATACTCGATGCAAATACAGAAGAACCTTCTTAGACATTGATGATTGATTCTTAGAATGAAACACTAGTTACCTAAATACTAAACGAAATAGGGTCTCTAAGTACTAGGTATTAAATAATAAAAGAGATCAATTAGCGACAATTTTCTATGCGATTGTAAAATTTAGACAAAGGATATATATATATATATATATATTCAATATTACGTAACTTAACCACCAGCGTAGTACATTACGTTGTTCATTATAAACACAAAATGTTATGTTTGTTACTAAACCTGTTATGTCGATAAATGTAAGAGAAAGTGAATCAAATAATATCGCTTCCGCAATTTGCACAACCGAAGTGACGTAATTGATGGATGAACAGACACGTCATATAAAAGTGTGCAAAAAAAATCGCAACGAACGCCATTAAACATGTATAGAAAGACCCGACTGCTAAATTCTGAACATGAAGTAACTTCTTATATTTCTCATGTAATAGTGACAAAACAACTGAGAACGATATGTACAACTCGTATTAGTATATTACTACAGTGCAATGATACATGTATTTTTGACAGCGGCGATTGAACAGCGCGGGGTGCAGCCACTTCTGGATATGTTGCGACGTTTGGGCGGTTGGCCCGTACTCGACGGCACTGCTTGGAACGAGGGAACCTTCACCTGGGAGGAGTCCGTCTACAAATTCCGTGACGCAGGCTACTCTGTCGACTACTTCCTCGACTTCTCCATAAGCGTCGACGTGAAAAACTCCACCAAGCGCATAATCGATGTAAGACATACGTAACCACGTAACAAATACTGTAAGCGCTTTTACAATTGCATCATATTGGTCGGCCGGCCTTGACTACAATTATTTTCCATTTTTATAGTATTGTTCTAACCAGAGGAACATTATTATTTTCAAAATAGATGTTCATTATGCGAAATTATTATGCGCTAAGCGAAGGTTTTATGAAATGTATGCTTTTGCACGTACCAATGTCATTAACGGTTAAACAAGTGAAATTCAATGTGAAAAGTGTACAGAATACCAAATTTTTTCCTACAGTTGGATCAGGCGTCTCTGGGATTGAGTCGGGAATATCTGAATCGAGGACTAAATGACAAGCTGGTCCAGTCGTATTATGAATACATGGTGGACATCGCAACATTGCTCGGCGCTGATCGCGCTCGAGCCGAAGTTGAGCTAAAGGAGTCCTTGCAGTTCGAAATTAGTCTTGCCAACGTAAGTTCCATTGCACCTCAAAATACACGCGTACCGGCTTAATGACTCCATTATACTAGATCAAAGAGTTAAACGGCACGGGTTTTATGTGTTGACTGTAATATAAACCACTCTATTGACATAGAATATAATATGTAATAAGTAGAGTATTGTTAGCAATCCGTAATAGTAGGTATTTATTGAGGCCAACATGAGCATGTTCGTCCTAATTACCTAGGACGGCTGGCTAGAATGTCAATCGAAAAGCATCTACGTTCAATTCACGATTTGCAATCGATCATTATTTGCCGCAACAATAACACCATCACTCTAATAAGAACCAACAAGCTTCAATAAAGGACCGTAAGTTTGCCGTAAATATGGCCTAAAATCACATGTCTTTTCAGATCTCCTTGCCACTTGAAAAACGTCGTAATGCCACTAGTTTATACAATCCTATGACCATTGCCGAATTGCAGCAAAAGTTCCCTAAGTAAGTACTTTCAGCGATTTGTTGGCTTAGTTAAAACCTGAAATAGTTAATTTATTCATCTCATGTAATTTTTCTCTTATAAAAATGTTTTTTGTCAACAGAATCCCATGGTTTAACTACATCAATCGTCTTCTGGCGCCTCACGTAAAGGTTGACATGAACGAAATCGCCATTGTTAACGTTCCTAAGTACATTAGCGATCTTGAGGTTAGTCTTAAATGATCATTTACCATAAAAATAAATTCACTGTAATTGAATAAATATTCACAATCTCAATATTTCATCCTAAAGATCCTCCTGGAGAAAACCCCGAAGCGCGTTCAAGCCAACTACGTGATGTGGCGCGTGGCCGGCGCGTCTGTATCTTACTTGACGGAGACCCTGCGAAGGCGGCAGCTGGCGTACGTCACTGCGCTCTCCGGCAAGACCGAGAGGGAAAGTCGCTGGAAGGAGTGCGCGGATACCACCAGTGTCAGGTGCTTTAAAAAATACGAACAGAGCTGACGATAAATTTGAAAAAAATATCACTTTCAAAAATTCGTGGAATTACATCTAGTATGCCACCCTTAGCTGTGGTATATTTTCTTC